AAGGGAAGGGAAGGGAAGGGAAGGGAAGGGAAGGGAAGGGAAGGGAAGGGAATATGGGCTGGCAGTTGGAATAGAGAGCTGGGACTGAGGAGCAACTCAGCAAGAAAAAACACCGGTTTTCAAGAAAATTGCCGAGCGAGTTCTCGGTGCTGGAAAAATCGTGAGTTTTCCTCTCTGGATTTACGTTTTCCTTGGAGAGAGGGGGATTTCAGTCCCTGGTATTTGGGGAAATGAGGTCATAACTGCTTCCCGGATCCAAAGAGCCATTCCCAGTCATCTCCACGGAACATTCCCACTCAAGACAGTGAGAACTTCACTGGTTATTTCGACAGGAACACCCCCAGATCCAGGAGATGTTCCAGTTCCACCAGCCAAGTTTAGTTATGGATATTTTTGCTAAGGAAGTTTGTTTTTTTATAAGTTTACGGCAAGAAGTCCTTCTCTACCCCCAAAACAGCCGGAATTTGACCAGCAGAGGTGAGAGAGACCACACTGAACTCAAACAATTCCCTTTTGGGAATGTGTGGCCACACTGGACTTCATCAGAATTAATGAGGTGAAACCAGAATTCCTTGGGAATCAATTAATGGGGAACTGGAGTGGGTGGAACTAAACTGGCTTAGGCGTGTAATTTTTAGATAATTGTTATTCAATTAAATAAATCTCCAGCCCTGAGCCAAATCTCCTCCTGGAAGCACAGGGAAAGACAGGAAGTTCGACCCAAATTCCCCCCGGAATGAGAAGAAAACTGGGATGTGAAGCCTGGAGGCAAATGTTGGGACTTGAACATCCAGCAAAGTCATCTGGGCTTAACACCCAGCTGTGTGTTCTGAATGAGCCCTGAATTGTTCCATTTAGAGGTCGGGAATCAGGGAATCATGGAATGGTTTGGGTCGGAAGGGACCTTAAAGGTCACCCAGTTCCAACCCCGACACCTTCCACTATCCCAGCTTGCGCCAAACCCCGTCCACAACCTGGCCTTGGACACTTCCAGGGATGGAGCATCCCACTGGGAGATGGGTATTTATGGAATAGGCCAAAACAATGTTTGAACACCAAGTTTTGCTCCGTGAAGCCCAAAACTTTCACCTCGACCATCTCTATCCCGGCAGGAATTCCGCCGAGGAGCCGCTTCCCATGGACACCACCACGCCCTGCCCACCCACAGGGACCTCTGTGGGTGCCATACCTGCCTTGAGCAGCAGCTTGGCACAGTCCAGGTGTTCCCTGGCACAGGCCACGTGCAGGGGAGTCCCAAAGTGACAGTCGTGAGCCTCCAGGTTGGCGCCGACGTCGATGAGGAGCTGGACACACTCGGGGCTGCCTTTGGGAAGGGAAGAGCCCAGTCAGAAGCCAAGAATCCAGCTCAGATCACAGAATCCCAGAATGACAGAATTATAGAATCCCAGAATCAGCTGGGTTGGAAAAGCCCTCCGAGATCATCCAGCCCAACCCCTGATCCAACCCCGCCGTGGTTCCCAGCCCATGGC